AATGAAATCAATCATAAGAAAGACATACACAGGAGGGACTCATCAGAAACTCATAAAAATGAACTTCCATAACAAATACTAATTTAAAAAATCCTCCATCCAACTCTGTATCCTAAAACAAGCAAAATGATTAATCTGATAGACAATGAACCACTGTCTTATAATCATTACAGGTGATGAAACAAAAAGAACACCAAGTTGGACCCACAGTTAATCATCAGAAGATTGCTATTATTTTGGACATAATAACCAAAGGGATCTGCAGGCTAGTTATTTAGCCATAGCAACAAATTGCAGTCCTTGATCTGCTGCTATAGAAAGAAGATTAAATGCAAAAAAAAAAAACAAAAAATAAGAATACATACTGAATGCGTAATATTTTCAAGAGAATCGACAATGCAATGAGCATAATCGTAACTTGGATATATACACCACTTGTCCCCTGCATGTGGATGTGGAGTAAACTGCAGAGTACAAAGGAAAGACGGAGAATTAGAATATATAGAGTTTAAAATGTCCAGTAATTATGTTAACAGGCAAATTACAGTCTGACCTCCTGTTGTATGGCCTTATTGCAGTGTAAACACTGGCTTCTCATTTCACATAAAATCATTTTTTTTAGGCTATTATCTAGTAATTTCTTGTTTTATTGCCATACAATTCTCTGTTTAGAAGCCTAGACACATGCATATTGTAAGGAACCATGGGTAAAAATGGGAAAGTTTGTGTAGAGGTAGTTTTGTCTTTTCATTATAATAAAATTAGGTTAATGATAAGTGAATAATGAACAGAAAGAAAAATGGTGGGAAAGATCCTGGACATCCATTCCTCAGCTTGGACATGTGGATGGAGATCGGGAGGGACATTTCAGACTAATTAAGATTAGGGTTTGGGAATCAACATGATGCATCCCTTCGGACCAACAGCTTCCACATCGTTCCATGGAGGTGTTTGGTGTTTGGCATCAAATATTCATGCACCATTTTTGTATTTAAGTTCTTCATTTGTAACCTTGAAGGACCTAAGTTTTTGTTGGAGATTAAATCTCAAATATTCTATCCTCTTCCCCTCGGAAATCTCTTTTTCTCTCTCGGTTTCTTTCTCTGTTTCTATTCGTTCAAACCCTTCTGTTCTCTTCTGATCCTCCTCTCTATTTCTATCTCTATCTTTCTCTTAAAACCCAAAACACAAACCTTTCATATCTGAACCATGCATCGCGTCTTTATGTCCTCTAAAAACCTAACAGTTCTATGTGAAATAATAAGAAAAAAATATATGGTCTGAATTGTCACAAAATGAAAAACAATGCATATACTAACAATAAGGCCAAAGCACAGGGCTAAAAGAATACTACTTTGCTCTATAATAAATCGTCGAAAATTACCTTGATACGATAGGCTATTAGGTCATACATATTGTAATTATCACTCTGCATATCTTGCTTCATTCTGAGAGTGGCTTTGCCTTCTTCGATCATGCCTCTTCTCATTTCGTCAAAAAGTTTCAATGACTCTGCAATTGGCCTATCCCTCCAAGGGCTGTTCATCTTTTTCTCCCTGTACTCCTTTATCTCTTCAGGGGTCTGAGAAAACATTAGCCATTTGGGTGGACTATATCAGCATTAAAATATCCACTAGCTAAAATGCTAGAATGTGACTGTGATACAAAAAAGTTCACCCTAGAAGCTTTGCAGTCAAGCAAATAATAAGGATGCTTCTTGTGAATAACTTAGAAACATGCTAGATAATTTCTTATTCCTTTCTTATTTCAAAAACTAATAATTTCTCATTCCTTTCCCTTGATAAAAGTTCTAAAAAGGAAAAGTGGAAAAGGAAAAGCGAAGACAAAAGTAATAATATAGATAGCTAGATTATCAAGATTCGCATTAAAACCTGATGGTCAACATAAGCATGGCCTCTTCGTATTAATTCCACTGCCAAATCATACAGATCTTGGAAATAGTCACTGGTGTAAGTAATCTGTTCACAAATGTAGTACATATTAAAAAGCTTTTCCAGATCAAGAAAACAGTTTCATGTAGCATATGTTATACCTTGAAAGGTTCCCAACCCATCCACTGAACAATTTCTTCAATATGATTAATATATTCTTTCTTTTCAGCCTCAGGGTTCGTGTCATCATATCTAAATAAGAAATCAAAATTCAGAAATGAATACAGCTGAAGAGAAACATCATATTAAAAAATATACATCAGCCACTAAATTCTAATTGTTCACTCATTCGGCTTTCTAAATACTAAATCTGGACCTTTACAACCAAGTAAGTTCTGAGTCATATTCCTTCTATATTAAAAAAAATGCTAAACTACAAGAGGAAAAGGAAGAAGTGAAATCACAATTTTAAAAATTAACAGTCTCAAATATGCTGCATTGTATTGACTTGTGAATGTAACACCCATTCACTATAGTCACAAGCAGTAAGGAGTCAAGTAGATTACTCAGATGACAACATGGTAGAACTGCACGGAAATAATAAATGGAACTATATAGATATTAGCTTATTGCTTTTAGAATATTATAAATATATTAGAACATGTTTTTTACTTAAGATTTAACGGAAAAAAGGGAATCTGAACAACAACCATCTACAAACTCCATTTTAAATCAAAGCACAAAATCAAAATTCTCACCTCAAGTAGCAGCACCCACCTCTCTCTTTCGCCAGACCAAAGTCAACAAACATTGCCTGAAAAAAGCTACTGGAATGAGGGAAGACGAAAACCTCAAAACAAAGTGTCTACCAGTAACTTTATACAATTCTTCTTAGGAGTTAGTTTCAATAACACATCCTACCTTCGCATGTCCAATATGCAAATATCCATTTGGTTCAGGCGGGAAACGAGTAAATACTTTCCCCCCTGTCACCTTTAGATGCTTGTCAAGCATTTCCTTCGTATTGCTACATCTTAGCACAGAGCCATCACTGAAAAAAACTTCAGTATGCACCTGATAATACACAAGAGAGTCATCATAATGCCAACATATTGCTGCGTATGAGAATTTAAAGCATCAAAGACAATTACACGTGTGCAGAGACCATAGCCAAGGGATAAAGTGAAATTAACATTCTCAATGGCTAATCTAAATCTCTCTCCAACTCATAAATTATTCATCATCATTTTTTTCCTCCATTAGTAAATAGCACCCTTTTTTCATATTTATGGGATATCATCACAAGTCTTAGATCAATAACCTTAAGTGGCTCTTTGAATATCTTGGACTTATTCCTTTTCTTTTTTACATAAAACTATATCCAGAGGTCCATCATTCAACAAAAGAGCAGGAAAAGTATTGTTAGTCATAAATGATGCATTAACTTTATGAAGAAAAAAAAAAGATTTTTTGTTTGAAATAAAAATAGTATCAATTCACAAGCACCAAGGGGGTGAAAAAAAAAAGATATCTTAACATAGATTAACAAAAATTAGGGAATTAATTACCCTGAAATTTTCTTCTGGCAGAGGGAATATTGAGTATGGATTAAGCTCTTCTTCAGATGGCTGTGCTGGAGTATCCTCAGAACTCTTCTTATCCTACACAAGAAGAATAGAATGGGAGGAATATCACAGATCCACTATGGAACACTATAATGCAAGAGCTTTATACTATTAATAACATGTCACAGGACTCACTTCAACTTTGGCAGGCTTTTCTTTCCTCTCTTTCTTTTTTGAAGGCTTCTCATTATCAGCTGCAGTTCTCTCACCAAGAAGTTCATACAACTTCGCATCTATGAGTTGCTGTAAGAGAAAAAAAAGGATGAGAAATCAGCAGTGTTTCAAAAATTTCTAGACACTTAAAACAACCAACAACAGTTGTTTCAACATGAATTTTCACATCAAAAAGCAAGAGCATTCACCTTAACAAACTTTGAGTCAGCCCATGGAAGCCTTTTTCTAACTTGCCCAATTAATTCACCAACTACAAAGAAGTATAGACACCACGTTAGAATATTGAGCAAAATGGAACAGTTAAAATGAAGAGTTTAAACAGTCATTTCATATTTCTAGATTGCACACTTGTGAACAAATCACCGAAGCAACATACTAGTCAAATGCCAATAATCATCTTTATCAAAATAAAATGCAGAGAACAGACTGAAACAGATAGGAAAATATAACAGTAAGAACATACTAACCATGCTTTCTGAAGTCATATATGTAACTTGTTGCATGCAAGAAAGGGAAAAATATGGGGAAGAAAATGCTAACCATTAGTCCGGTAACGTAAATCCAAAATTGTGCTTTTATTCTCTTCAAAAATTTCCTTAACAGTCTGCTCAATATCCTCCTCTGAGACTTCAACTCCTATTTACAACCCCAGAGAAGTAATCAGTGTCTATATCTCTAAAGTACAATGGGCAAAACGCAAGTAAATGGAAAGATTATATTATAAACTGGTAGTCATTAATGTATTATAAATTAAACAAAAAATGTTGTGATCAGAAACATAATAAACCCACTAAGAACCCAGAGAGAGAAAATATAGGTGCATCAAATCAAATTGATTAGTTCTGCTACTGTACCAACACCACACGCATCCTCAAATTCATTCAACTTATAATTCTCAGAACCAGTAGCCGCAAAAAATGAAAATGCTGCATCCAACTGAGCTGTAGTCTTAATCTGCAAATTATTACCAGAAAAGAATAATTAGTTCGGATACTTCAAAAACAGTTTTGATAACAAACACCATAAACTAGAGCAAACGTAGAAAAACCAAAAGAAATTATTCTTGTAGTCAATCCTAAAGGCATAGAACTTAAAAATAATGAGAGCAGCTGCAAACCTTAGAGGATATAATATATTCAAGCAAAGTTGGGCGATGCACCAAAGCATTTGTTGGAAACTTCGTGGCAACCTGTTAAATATTTGTTTACACTCAAATTAACTTAAAAATAAATCCTTTTGACCAGTAAGTAGGGGTTGAGATTTAGGATTTACAAAATACTTTCCCCAAATTCAAATAATTAATTCATAAGGGAAAAGCATATAAATGGCTGGACACGAGTAACTTGATATCGTACCGTGTAAAGTAAATTCCCAATGGCGCGGTCACATCCATCTGTAACAGCAGCCTGAAAATAACATAACAAAGACAATTATGACATGCATAAGCATTCTGATCCAGACAGCAGAATAGGATAACAAAAGAGAAACAAGAAAATGGTATTAGAAATGGGCAGTTTGTAAGCTTGAGAAACATAGGAGAAAAAAAATTGAAAGAAATTCGAACACCAAAAACACTAGTAAATGAAGAAATATAGAAAGAGTTCAAGCCTAAATTTATCCCAGGCGCATCCCAATTAAGCAAATTATCTAATACTCCCAGCATTAAAACTCCTCTTGCCAGCTACACCAAACCCCAAACTGCAGAAATTAATCACAAGAAGAAGAAATGCATTCCTCGACAGAAATAAACCGCAATGCCAAGTTACAAACTCGCCAAGGTCAATAAGTTTTTACATTCAATTCTGCTTCCACTTCTTTGAACTGAACTATAACCAAATTTCTACCAGAAACAAATAAAGCAACCGAGAACCAGTTATTCCAATTCAACAACAGAGCATTTGCATGTCAGATTAAAAAGAAAAAATTAAATCAGATAGACACACCTCGTGAATGACGGCCGTCAGATTGGCAGTAACCTTGTTATTCGCTACGGTGTTTCGCGCAGTTCGCTCATCCAAACCAATCTTCAGAAACAGCTCCAATGATTTCTCGGATTTCTCGTCTTTGACCACCATTGTCACTGATTGGAAAACGGGAAGTTCGATAAGAGAAAGACAGAAGAAGCTAGGGTTTAAAAAATCAGAGAGCCGAAGCTGAAAGTTAGAGAGAACACAGTATCTAAACACAGAGAAACCCTAATAAATAAATGGAATCTGAATGCGTTTCGGGGGCTGTGGAAGGGAAATACCGGGATAGAAAGATTCTATGGAAGTAGAATCCGTTGACAACGAGGTTGGAATTTGGACATACAACTCGATTTTCTTCTTTTCCTGCTTTGGAAATATCTTAGTGGACCTGCTATTGGGTCGGGTCGGGTCGGGTCAATCCGACGTAAGACTGAGATGAATCCGATTCATTATTTGACGGTGATTGGTTGAAGTCAAAGCCCGTTGACCAAGTAAAATTTCATTGGGCCTTGACTCGGACTCACGTGCGAGACTCCGAGCCCATTTAGGTAATTTTGTCTGTTTCTGTAATATTATTATAAACAGATTAGATTATAATTTAAAAAATTAATTGTATAACCTATAAATTGGAGGTAATAGAAAAATTAAATCTTATTTTTATATTTAAAATATTAAATAAATAATATTTATGTATTATCACAATTTATAAAGTGTACAATTATTTTAAAAATTAAATGAAGAATTATTATATATATATATATGTTAAATATTAAATATTATTTTTATATATTAAAATTTTCGAATATGTAAATTTCTGTATATATTATCACAGTATTCTTATATTTATATTTTTATATTCTCCCGCCACCATTATTACGACTGCTGTGGAGTTGGTTGCATACGAAATTTTCACTTACGTACATCGCTTAGAGGGAATCAAAACTTCTGCCCTGCAGATTAGGTGGGGTCCTGTTAACTGTGATTATCACGTGACGACCGCGTAGAACAGAAATCCGAAATATAAGGCGACGATATGACGAGAATCGGACGGTGCAGAAATGCCGACAGAAAAGACGTATGGTACTTGAAAATGCAGAGAATAACAGCTCAATAAAATTTTCCTAGGAGATCATTTATACCCCACAACGTGGTATAAATGAAAATTAATAAAACATGTGACATGTGCCCACAAATGAAAATTAATAAAATTCATTTTTACAATGTTTAGGAATAGATATATATATATATTTAAATAAATTTTATAAATATATGCAAGTAAATATCACGTCTTATATCACATATAAAATTATATATATATCAATTATAATATATTAAAAATAATCATTAAATTAAATATTTTTATTATCTTTCGTTTAAAACGTATTATTTAATATTAACAATTCAATTTATTAAATATATTACTCGGCAAAACCCATAAAGGATAATGATGTATTATACATTTTGGATGTAGCCCCCGGAAAGGAGGAAAAAAAAAAAAAAAAAAAAAAAAAAAAAGGGGGGGGGCCACGTCAGCAGCCACGTCAGCAGTCCCGGCCAACCAGGGCCTGCCACGTGGCAAGATCGCGTCACTCCGAAAGGAGCCACGTTGGCGATCCGCGTGGGTGCGATCCGACGGCCCAGATCAATCGCGCGATCGGACGGCCCAGATTCAATCAAAAACGAACGGCCCAGATTAAAACGAAATGAACGGCTGTGATCAAAAGGCAATGGGTTATAAATAGAACCTCCACACCAGACCACAAACCCTAGCCGCCAGCCGCTCGCCGGAGAAGACGAACCAGAGGCCGACCGCCGCCACCCGCCGCCACTCGCCGCCGCACCAGGGAAATTTCCGACCGCCGATCGAGGCAAATTTCATACCCCCGACTCGTTTTTCCCCGCTGATTCCTCCTATGGCCAAATCGAGGCCGAAATCCCGGCTAAACGGCCGGAATACGCGGCCGAAGCCCAGCGGCGCCGCCGCGCCCCCTCTCGGTTTTTGCCTCCGACGAGGCCCTTCCCGGCCTCCGTTCGATGCAATTTTTATATCACCGTGATCACCATTCTTTTCTCTACAGGTTGACCGGAGCCGAATCACCAAAACACGAACCTCGCCGGAGAGCCGCTGCACCCGAGAGCGCCGCCGCCGGTAAGCTCCGTTTTTCCGTGATTTTTTGGCCCCCCGAGGGCCCTAGGGTTGTTTTCTGACAAGGACCAATGCGAGCGTGGCCGAATTCGGCCGAAAATGGCCGAAAACAGCCAACCCAAGGCGACTCGCCGCCGCCAGCGGCGGCGCCGTCGCCGGAGCACGGCGGAGCCGCCGTGCCGGAGTTGCGATTTGGGCCGAAAGAGGCCCTGGGCCTAATTTGGATTTTTTTAGAACACGTGCAGGTACTCTTAGTGTGTTTCAGTTTCCCGGGAAAAATTCAGGGAAAAATTAGGGACGGCCTGCAGCCGCACTGTGAATCATATTCGGATCTCGAAAACAAGTAAGGACCCCTCACCCTATTTCCTATCACGGTATTAAAGTTCAAAATGATAAAACGGTATTTCTTGAATTAACGCATGTGTGAAATTGCTTAAGGTTGCTAATGGAGCCCGAGTCTAGTGTGATTGATGATTTACTGTTATTTGGCCTGTTTTACACTGTTTTACAGCTTTAAATGCATTATGGGGTTTGATGTGTTCATTTTATAGTTTCGAATGCATATATTACTGTTTTATTAATTATGGGTTGAATGACTGAAGAATTGATACTGTATGTTGTCTGTTCGGCATGAATTACGATTTGCTTGTTTAAATGTGAATTGATGATGCTTATTGAGGAAAAGGGAAATGAAACATTGTGTAGACTGATAATTGTATGATGGGGTCAGCCTGACTAGATATCCTGGGAGATGGTGGACGGACCGGGTCCGTAGGGAACCCTACCGGGATTGTGGTCTCACATGCCGGACGGGGTATGGAGATCTTATGGTTTTGGCGCCCATACCGGACGGGGTATGGGGACGGCCCGTTTCACCCTCATACCGGACGGGGTATTGAGGTTTATGGTTTTGGCGCCCATACCGGACGGGGTATGGGGACGGTTCTAGAAACTGATTATGAATGTTAAAGGTTAACGGGTAGCGGGACCCCTAGGGACCCCCATGGATACTAGTAGGCTGGTAAATGAGAAAAAGATATGTTGTACAATGATTGAATTACAAGAGGCGTGATAAGTGCTATGTTTTACAGCTTAGATTATTCAATGATTATGATAATGTTATTGTTTTTCTCATATTGTTTTCATAAATTCCACCAAGGTAAGTGGATGGTAAAGGTTTTCATGTTAATAAACGAGTTTGTTGTAAATTATGCTCCATTGGTCTTTTTGTGGTTTTCTACCCACCTTTATCTCCGTGACGGTGAGATATCGTGATGTTCTTACTGGGCTAGTGTAGCTCACTCCTTAATTAACCATTTCAGATCAGGAAGACATGGTTCCCGAGCCCGTTCCGCAGGAGGACGACGAAGGGGATGCCTAGAGACTCTGTAGACATACGCATAGTCTTATTTTCGAGTTCCTCTCTTAGTTAGTTTAACCTTTTATATTTTAAGTACGTTTGTTTGGTTTTTCGTGTAAGGGATGTTAACTGAAATTTTGATCTCGCTTCCGCATTTGATATATTTAAATACTCATTTCATTTTAATATTTCCGGGGTCGTTACAGTTGGTATCAGAGCCGCATTTCCTCGGACCCATCCCTTACACTATAGTCCTTTAAAGAAATACTCACCGATTGGTCGTTACTCAACCATTCCTTGTAAATGCAGGTACACAGAAATGAGGAGAGGAAGGCCCCCACTAAACCGAGCGGCCCAAGATAATTCGCTTCGGGAGGATTTGGACAGATTATATGAGATGGTGGAAGCTCTCGTAGCTGCTCAGCGAAGGCAAGAGGAGATAAGGGAGTTACCCGGACCTCCCCCGCTAGCGCAGGTTGAGCCCCCGTTACAGCAGGCTGATCCCGAGCCACCCCGGTAGGAGCCTGTTCCTCCACAGTACCAACAGGTACCGCCACAGCACATTCTAGTGCCCCCACCCCATCAGCAGGCGCCACCACAGGGTCCCCCAGTTCACCCTCAGCCGGCCCCAGTCCCTCTACCTCGGGACCCCGCTCCCTCCTTGATCGACCCCGGCTTCATAGAGAGGTACAGGAGACTGAACCCTTCTACTTTTTCAGGGGGATCCTCTTTCGAAGAGGCCCAATACTGGCTAGCGGAGACTGAGAGAGCATTTGAGACCTTGGGAGTAATTCCTGAGCAGAGGGCTGCCATTGCCTCCTACATGCTGGTAGGGGAAGCAGTACGCTGGTGGGAGCTCAAGCGGGCCACCTTGCCTGTACCAGTTACTTGGGAGCAGTTCTTAACGGCTTTCCATGCGGAGTATCTCCCTAAACACATCCAACATTTAAAGGAAATGGAATTTGCTCAGTTGGTCCAGGGTAATATGACAGTGTCGGAGTATGCCCGCAAGTTCCTGGAGCTGGGCCGACATGCCCCGGAGACATTGTTGGATGAGGGCCGAAAGGCCAGGAAATTCCAGTGGGGTCTCCGCCCGGCGATCAGACAGCACTTGTTGGTGATGGAGCTCGAGACATATTCGGCAGTCCTGGCAAAGGCGCAGATCATAGAAAGGAGCTTCGACACCCGCCCTCAGCTAGCGGGAAGTTCCCGACCTTCAGCCCCGCTCCGCAGGCCAGCGCCTGCCATGCCTGTCCAACCCAGTAAGAGACCCAGGCCTGCCGCTCAGGGCCCTCCTCAGGCTATGGGGGCAGCTCGTGGGAAGATCTGCCAGTACTGCGGTAGGGATCATGGGGACCGACCCTGCTACCGCCTCAACAACACCTGTCGCATATGCGGCAGTGCCCAGCACTATGCAAGGGAGTGCCCTAGGAACCAGAATCAAGGGAGGCCTCCAATCCAGGGCAGAGTTTACAACCTTACCCAGAAGGATGCCGATGCAGACCCGGACGTGGTACATGGTATGTATACTATCTCTGGCCACATTGCTCATATTTTGTTTGATACTGGTGCATCACATTCTTTTATTTCACATGTTCTTGCTTCCAAAATTTGTGTATCACCTGATAGACTTGATTCATTATTGTTTGTATCTACCGCTGGGGGGGAGACATTACTAGGAGAGGTTGTCTACAGGGCATGTGCCGTGGAGATAGCAGATAGGAAATTGAGGGTAGACCTGATAGGGTTAGACACAGGGGATTTTGATGTAATCCTAGGAATGGATTGGCTGGCGACGTATCACGCCACCATAGACTGCTTTAATAAA